GCCGCCTCGCCGCCTCCGGAAGGCCGGCTTCCCGGAACGGCCCGAGGGCGGCGGGGAATCCGCGCCGAGGCCCTGGAGCCACCCCTCGCCTTCCCAATCCAGCCCAAGCCGCGCTGGCGCGCTGGAGGCCGACGCCGGAGCCGCGGGCTGCACCCAAGAGGCCAATGTCGGTCCAGGACGCAGCCCAGGGGACTGGGATCTCCCCGTTGTCCCTCCAGAGGTCCCCATTCCCTTGCACCCCGAGCCCGCCGGGCCTGGCCGAGGTCCCCGGGAGACTAGCCATCCAGGCAGCCGCGCATTCCCCTGCCCGGGGCTTGTCCTCCGCGGTCCGCACGTCTTCCCCAGAGGAGCGCCCAGTCCCAGCACGTACAGGGTTAAACAGGAGCAGGTGTGTCGCCAGATGCCGCTCACCACCCCTCTCCCCCGCAGCCCTGTCGGCCTCCTCCTCCTCCGCCCACCCGCTCAGAACCAAACAGTCCCAAATAAAAGTGCTATTGTTGCCTTTCCCCACCCCCGTCGTTGCCCCGCCACCTGGAGCAGAGCCCGGTCCCCTCTTCACCTGCCCCGGGGCCGGCCAGGGGGAGGGGAAGTGGGGCCTCCAAGCGGGGACTTCCGCTCCTCCCTGGCCCTCAGCATCCCCTCCCCCAGTGCCCCCGGCACTGACCCCTGGGCCAGCGGTGGGGGCCGTGCCGTGGAGGGTAGAGGGCTCCTTTCTGGTCTGAGAACTGGGTTCTGGCCTCCCCTCGCTCCTCTCTCTAGCCCCTCAACCTCACTGGCTAGACCAGCTGCAGGGTGTGCAAAGCTGGAGAACAGTAGGCCCCTTCGAGGCCACCAGGGCAGTGCCAGCCTGTCTTGGCAATTGGCAGCTGGTATTTTTAAACATTTGTGTGTCAAGTCAGGGACAGCGGGGTAAGAGTGATGATTCCCTTTTCACAGACCAAGAAACAGAGGTAGGTAGAGGTGAAGTGTCTAGCCACAAGTCAGGAGGCTGGGTAATGTCAGGGCTTTGCTCAGAACTGTCTGTGGGCTCCCCTAGCACTGTCAAGCCTCGGGCACTCATTTGATGGACAAAAAAATGGGGGACCCCAGAGACCGGCAGCCTGCCACCACCGTGGACTCACTGTAGGACCTTGGACTCGTTACCCTTCCTCGGGTTTCCTCATTCTTAAATCGATGAGGGTGGACTAGCGTAATTCCTGAATTCTCTTGAATCCAAGGGGCTGGCTGACCCCCGGAAGTCTGGGGGCTGTGGTGGGACCCCACGAGTGATCGAGGCAGCCATGGTCTGTTCAGAGGGAAGAAAATGTTTCCCCTCTTGCTCCCCATCTCCGCCAGCCTCCCCCGCCCTGCCTCCATCCCTCCTGCCGGCCCCAGGGAGGCTGAACTACGAGGTTAAATAAATATCTGACGGTGACTCAAGGAAACTAGTCAAGACTGTTGCCGGGAGAAGAAACCCAGACCTCTGTGAAGATCCGCCCCCGAGCCCGAGCAGCCCCCCGCTCCGCCCCTGATGCCTGCAGAGCCCTGGCCCCCTCGGGCCTCGCCCAAGTGCCCCAGGATAGCCAACCCCCTCTCCCCGACCTGCTCCAGCTTTGTGAGTTGGCACCACTGGGGCTGGGGGCGTGCGCGCATGGTTACCGTATTTCCTCTCCTTGCGCCCTCGGTTTTGAGCGCAGGTATTTAACTTCTCCAGCTCACGGGAGAGTCCTCTCCATTCTATGAAAAGTTGGGAGGCTGGAGATTTTGCTTTTGTTCTCTTAATCTCACTCCTGACCTGCCGACCTGCCAATCCTGTTTCCTATTTCCACGTGAACGTCTAGCGGGCACCTCAAACTCATCTTGTCCAGCTTTGCCATTCTGATCCTTCGCCCAGACCTGCTCCTTTCAGTCTTCTCCATCTCCGAAAAGGGCAACTTCAGTTGCTCCGGAAGAAAATCTTGGAATTATTCTTAATCCTCTCTCTTTCTGTCATCATTCATCCAAATACCTTAGCGAATCTGGTTTACTTTGCCTTCAAAATATGTCCAGTATCCTCACTACTTCCCCTCTTGCCCCATTCTCTAACCCACCATCTTCTCTTGCCTGGAATATCACAACACCTCTTAACTTGTCAGTCTGTGTCCCTTGTACCCCTCAGTCTATTCTCAGCAGAGCAGCCAGGGTTATCTTTTTAAAACCAAAGTCGGATCATGTCCCTCTTCTGCTCAAAAATCTAATGGCTGCATATCTTGCTCAGAGAAAAGTGTCCTTCCAAGACCCCGGATGATCTGATCACCTTTCTGCCCTTTTTGCCCCCTCCTCTCCCCTTCATTCTACTCCAACCACACTGGCCTCTTAACTGTTCTACAGGCAGGACAGCACACTTCTGCCTCAGGGCCTTTGCACTTGCAATTCCCTCTGCCTGGAATAATCTTTTCTCAGATTCCTACAGTGCTTTCTCACTCACTTTGTTGAGGCTCTCCCTACCCCCTCATCAATACACACAGGCTCCTGACTATCTGTCCTATCTCAGCAGCTTGTATCACCATCTAACATGCTACATATTTACCTGCTAATTTGTTTGTCTATCTCCTCCCACTAGATTGTAGATGCTATGAGGGCAGAGACTTAAAAAAAAAAGCCTCAGCCTGAGAACAGAGCTTCATACATAGTGGACACTCAGTAAATATTTGTTGAATGAATGAGTCAGTGAAGGAATGACCTGGTCACCTCCCCTTCCTGGGCCTTACTTTCCTCACTTGTACAAGTGAGTTGGATCCAACGAAAGTCCCCTCAGCTTTGAGAGTCCCCTGGCTCCTCTTAAACCTTACCTGACAAACATCCAGTCCTAGGCCTTCTGCAACTCGCCTGCTGGGGCGGTGGGGGGGCTGGGAGTATAGGCTGGGTTTTGTGGGAGGGGAGATCTGAAGCTAGGCTTGCTTGGAGAAAGCTGGTCAGTAGGAGATGGAAGATGAGTGCCACCCCTCCCCCCATCGAAGGCCCTGCCCTCTTCCTCTCACTCCCATGGACCACTCTCCGCTCTGACCAGAAGGCTTTTGGTCACCTGGAGAAGCTGAGCCCCGGGAATGCCAGCTGTATAAAATAACCCCCTGAAGTGTGGAGGGCTGGCAGTTTAGAGGGGCTGAAGGTAGGCTGAGGAGGGTTCTGAAGGATCTTCAGAAATATGGAATTGTCACCTTTCCTGATACTTGAGGGGTCAGAAGAGGTAAGATGGAAAGGGTATGCTCATCAGTCATGCATTTGTTCAGGCCAAATATGCTTAAAATGCCCATGTACAAGGGTCCCCAGGCATAGGCACTGCCGTAGAGGGGAGAAGGGAGCAGTACCCAAGATGAGTCTTTGATGGCTGAGCTGAGCTTTTAATAGGCCCTGGGAGTCCAAGATGAATAAGACTCAGTTCCCTCTCTGGGGAAGATCAGACTAGTATCTAATAGATTTTTTTTTAACAATGATTGATGTGTTACAATTAGGCAACTGATTTGGGAGCAGACAGAGGGAAGATCTCAACTCTTTCCATGGTGAGAGGGGATGAGGGGATGTCAAAGGAGGCCTCCAGGAGGAGGTGGCATACCTGAGCAAGACTTGAAAGATACAGAAAGGAGGATATGGCTTTTGGCGATCCAGAAGGTGAGAGTGAGGGATAGAAAGTAGAATCAAGGTATCAGAGAGCTCTGTGCTGGTGTTGACCAGCACCAGGCAAAGGAGGCTTACCCCAGGGAGGTGGCACCCTATCCAGAGGGCCCATTCATTCATCCATTCATTCAAGAAGCATCCCTGAAGGTCCTCCATATGTCTAGGCTGGGGCAAAGCTCTGGAGGAGGCAGGGGGCATGCAGAGTGAGACCTGGGCCAGTGATCAGGAGACTTGGGCCATAAACAGCTCTGGTCTGTGTGACCCTGGAACCTCTCTGAGCTTTAGTTCTCCCAACTGTAGAGGCAACAGATAATTCCACCTGCACTGCAGGACTCACGGATTATGCTGAGGATCAAATGAGACAATCTCACCATGTGCAGTTCAAAGTGTATGACAGAGGGACAGGAAACAACACAAAGCAAGATCTGAGTCCTTCAAGAGCTTGGAGCATGGTCTTTGTAGCTTAGAGGCCCCTCTCTTGGTCTCCCAACTTTCTATTTCAATTCAGGTCTTGGGGCCCCCTGGGACTGGCTGACTCCCTCCCTAGTTTCACACTTGAGTTGGCTTCCTTCGAGACCCCAGACATCCAAATGAATGCTCCCCCTTGTGGCACTTCATGGAATAACAGATTTCTGAGCAAGAAGAGATTGGGGCCGAGTCGACCACAAAAAGGGAGGTGGAAGAGCCCAGAAGAGGAAGAACTTGAAGACCTGGGAAAGGAACAGGGCAAATTGGTGAAAGAAGTGAATCTTGAAACAGAATGTTAGACTAGAAGGGACTTGGGACCTCCTTCCACACCCCATTTTACAGATGAGGAAACTGAGGTTCAGGGAAATGAAAGTTAGAGGCAGGACCATGACTCAGGTGTCCATACACTTGTATGCTGGATTCATTCCATTACACCAATGCAATGAAGAGTGAACATTGAAAATTCCCTCTACATCTGGCAGATGTCCCCCAGAGGGTCTCTGACTTATGTAGCAGTCTCCCCCAGGGCAAAGATTGCCGAATGCTAAAGACTCGGCTGCTGGAGTGGCTGGTATTAACTCAGAGTTAATATATTCTGGATCCAGAGATACGAAATAGACAATTCGCCTGGATTTTTCTCTTTTTACTGCGGTATAGGTGCAGGGATGAGGATGGGAACACAACTAAATCCACAACTAAATGACCAACTCAACGAGAGGGGTGTGTGTATGGCAGCTGTAAGAATAGAGTGCTTTATCTAAAAAAATTTAACCTACATCTTCTAATTTAGTTCTTGCTGCTATTATTAGCCCACTTTAGAGATGAGAACAATGAGTCACCAAAGCAACAAACTGACTTTCCAAGGTCCAGAAGAACATTAGGGAAGGACGAATGTGGTGCATACAGAAGGCACTGATAGATGCCATCTCGTGCCTGTGAGATTGCCTTGTTTTACTGAGCTGATTTCAGGAAGAACTCTTCCCAACCTGTGGTCCTCTCCTACCACTGAGATTTCTGCTGCCTTCCTTGGATCCTGGCAGCCTGGAGGGGCCTCTGGCTTTATGTTTAAGATAAGGGATGAGGTGGTGGGTGGGCAGAAAAAAATGCAGCAGCAGAAGAGGGGATGCCTGCCTGCACTGAGCTGAGGGGCTTTTAAATACCCTCATTTGAGTCACTGGGTGGTTGAAGGCAGGCCTGGATTTCTGATCATCTCGGGGATTGGAAAGCAAAGGTGGGCTCAAGAGCCACTATAAAAATGTACTAGGAGCCAGAAGGCCCCGTTGCCCTGGCCCATTGCTACATCAGTAGGGTGCTCAGTGGTTGGAGAAAACCCTGGGACCAGGGGGTGGAACACAGTATAGAGCAGTGGTTGGGAATGGAGGCTGCTTGGGTTCACATCCCAACTTCCTCACTTACCAAATCTGTGGCCCCAGCTTCACTTCTCTGTGCCCCAGTTTTCTTATCAGCAAAATGGAGAATAATAGTTCCTACCCAAAGATTGTTGGAAGCATTAAATGAATGAACCATGTGGAGTATTTAGGAAAATGCCTGGCATGTAGTAAATACTCAATAAATGTAATCTATTATTAGATTATTATTATTTGAGTTAGAATATCATCACCTGTGCAGTGAAGGAGGTTGAGTTGGATGAGTGATTTCCAGTTATAATTTTCCACAGCTCTTTTCCCTGAGGGCATGTGTTTACAGGGTTGATTCACAGGACCAGAGCATCCCAAGATTCCTGGACCTGTTATTCTGTGCTTTGGGGGTTATCTGCTGAGTCTGGAGGGTGTAATGTCCAGGGGAATACCATGCTGGATGACTGGAGACCATGATCCCAAACCTGGCAGCTTAAGCTTTGGTACCCAGAGGGATCCTGGGGTGAGTCCCAGGGAACTGAAGTTCCTGGACGTCCTGCATCCAGCCTGTCCCTGGGGGGTGGGTTTGGGGGGAGGAGGAAAGAGAGGCCTTCGTGGGAGAAGGCAGGCAGGGAAAGTTCCTTGCCCATCGTGTTTACTGAACTGCACTGAATTATGACTAAATGCCAAGATCTGGCTTCAGGCAATTGCCTAAATCATTTAGGGGTTGACAGAGGAGGGAGGGAGGGGACATGGGGAGCTTGGGGGAGAATGTTCTTGTAATTCTTCAGTCTGAGGTACATTAAGGAGCCATAAGCCATGTCGAGAGCTTGAATTACATTAGAGAGATTATCCTGTTACAGTTCATAATCCTGGATAATATACCGTCTTGGAGCACACCTGCCCATGATAAATCTCACCCCATAATGGCCTGACCCTGGGGACCCAGGGAGGCTGGGGCAGCTGGCAGGGGCTAGCAGCATGAACACAGCCTTGGCAGAGGCCCTGGTGAGACCTCTTGACTCATCTTTGTGCCCCCGATTCCTTTCTTGGCCCAGATGCAGCGGGGGGCACCAAACTTCTCCATCTCCATTCAAGGCGCTTGGCTCCCTAGCCCTCTTCTCACCTTAACTGCCACCCCATGAGCCCACGTCTTGCCCTGGTGGGACAGACCCTTGGCATCCCTGTCTCCAGGCTCTCCTCTCCCTGAACGCCTTCTCCCTAATCTCTCTAAACCCAGACGGATTTCATGGTCCCTGAAGACCCCTCAGAGGACATACACTGACACCCTCTTTAGCTCCATCCCTTGTGAAGGGGTATGTCACCTGCCATCTATGTGTTTCTGAGTATCTGTCTCCCCAGCTAGAATACAAGTACCGTGAAATCAGGAACCGTGACTTCTGCCACGGCACTTAGCACAGAGAGGCGAGGTAACTTGTCCAAGGTCACACAACTAGTTAGTGGCAAAATCAGGGTTCGACCCCCACTCGCCTGGCTCCACAGTCTGTGCTTTTGGCCACTCGGGAACACTGTCTCTCTGACCTGAGAGCTCTGTCCTGTGCCACGCATGGGCCTGGCCCCACTTTCCGTGAGCCATCACATCCTTACTAGATTCTATTTGCCTTCTGCTGGGGACCCTCATGAGCCAAAGGGATGACTCTCCGGTGGTGGATCTTAGGGTTGGATGGCACCTGAGTCTCCTAGATTCACCCCCAGCCTTTTAAGTGGCCCACTCCCTGTGTGCCCTCACTAACTCCCCCACTAGTCTGGCAGCCCTATCCCAGCCCTACACCCTCTCTTCCCCTGGTCATTGCTTGGCCCCCTGCTCCTGGCAGGCTTGGTGGTATCTGGGTGCCTGCCCTGGCTCTCTCTGTATGACACCCCAAGCTCCATCAGCCTCAGATTCTGCTTTACTCCTCCCACCTTCCTTCCCCAAACACATATTTCATGGGTACCTCTACCTGGGGGCATGTGGAGTGGAGGGTACATTTCTGGGTCTCCTGGGGCTGGCTGTGCTACTGGGGGTTCAGCTAACATAAGTCACTCTGGGTCTTGAAGCCACGGCTATCATTTATCAAGTGCTCACCAAGTGCCAAGCATCAGGTTCATGCTTTTTGCCTGCATCATCTCATGAACCCCTATGTGATAGGCACTACAGAATTTCTATTTCACAGATAAGAAAGTTGAGGCTTAGAGTGGTTAAAAACTGTCACAGGTCAACACCTAGTAAAGTGCAGAGCTGGAGTTCAAACCCACGCCTACAAGTCCCAGAGCACATTCCCTTAACCCTCGATGCCACACTGTCCCCTGACGGTGAGTGTCAGATGCCCTGGGCTGCCTCCCCAGCTCTGTCTCCACCCAGGCTCATCCTTCTCCATCCCTTCTCACCCCTGCTAGCATCTCTAGCACCCTCCTCCCTACCTTTCTCTTGCCAAGTTCCAGAACTCCCTTGCATTCCAAGTCACTCAGTGCGCCAAGGATTCATTCCCCCTCTGTGCACCTCCACATCATTCATCCAGAGACAGAACCACACCTGTGTGACCATCCACCCGTCCACTCACTCCCGTCATTCATTTGTGGAATCCTGGAATGTCAGGGCTCGAAGGGGCTTTGGAGATTATCTGGTCCAGTGGCTTTTAAACTAGCATGCATTTTTTACAGAAAGGCTTTGGTGGAGGTTCTATAGAGGAATCAGATCAGTGAGGGTTGGGGGTGGTATTGGGAGGATGGGGGTGGTGTCCAGGGTCCAGCCTTCTCACCCCACCCCCTGCTCTGTACCCCCAGAGTGCAGTTGGCCCTGGAGCTGTGTCCAGATACCCAGTCCACAAGAACCTGTTGCCTTCAGTCACAGACTAAGGGTTTACCATTACAGCAACTCATTCTCCCCAACCTCTGAGCTGCACAGACCTGGGTCCTAACCTCAAGCTCCCCATCTCTACTTACAGAGCTGCCTGACCTTGGGCAAATAAATTGAGTAAGCTTTACACCCTGTATCTGTTTCCTTTTCTAAAAAATGGGAATAGTAACAGGACCTACACGTTACTGTGTAACAACACCCCAAAACTTAGTGGCTTAAAACAGCCCATGTCCTGTCTCTCCTAGTGTAGGGGCCAGCTGGGCTCAGCTTGATGGTTCTTCTGCTGGTCTTTCTCGTAGCTGCAGCTCGGAGCCCCAGCCCCCATCATCTGGAGGACAGTTCCAACTGCTGGGATGGCCAGGCTTCTTGCTCTCCGTGGACTCCCAGGCTCTCGCCTCTCCACCCAAGGTCTCCAGCTGCACAACCAGACTTCTGATACAGCAGCTTAGAGTTCTCCTAAGCACAAAAGTGCCAGGCCTTCTTAAGACCAAGGCCCAGAAGTGGAATGGCCTCATTTCTGCTGCATCCAATTGGTTACATTCAAGGGGAAAAGAAATGAACTCCACTTCTTAGTGGGGGAATGACAAAGAATTCACATTCATCATTAATCCACCACCGACTGTGTGACCTTGAGCAAGAAAATTACTTAACCTTTCTGATTTCCCATCTGTGTTCTCATCTGTGAAAAATAAATACATGAAATCCATAGAAATCCATGGAAAGTACTTAGAATAGTGCCTGGCACATAGTGAGTCCTCAGTCTATGTTAGCTGGAGCTATTTTTATTTCTAACCCATATGCCTAGCCCTGTGCTACGTAACTGGTGACGGGGGAGGGTTACAAGAGTCATGGCAAAAACAGTTTATACTCCTGATAATAAATAATCTAGTTCATGAGATAAAATTAACACACGCAGAGATCAAAGTACTAATTCAAGGCATTGTGTAATTAAGGAGCCCATGAGAGGTTACAGATAACATACTTGAGGAAGCTGGAGGACAAGGAGATTGGACGCGGAGGCTGGGTGGCCAGTGAAGGCTTCAAGGAGGAAGGGGGCTGCCCGCCGAGAGTGGGTGGTCTCACGGTTCAGCACAGTCTCAGCCCAGCTCTCTATTTTCACGTCTTAGCTCTGCCACTTTCTGGCTGTGCCTCTGTGACCTCAGTAGGTGCTTAGCCTCTCTTTGCATCGGTTTCCTTCCTGTAACATGTGTCCATCTCCTAGGACTCAGGTGAGGAGTAACTGATTTATTTCCTATAAAGGGCAGCAGGGTAGCAGCATTGGACACGTGGTAGGTGCTCAGCAGATTGAGTTAATCTCATCATCCCTCAAGAGAGGAGACTTCGGCTAGGTGGAGAGGAGGAACCAAGGCCTCCGGGTGTATGGAAACAGTGTGTAAAGCAGGACGGTGCACCTGTCATGCTCAGGGATGGAGAGAGGTGGCCTGGCACAGGTGGAGATGTTTGAGGGGTGGATGGCAAGAGCTAAGGCGGAGAGGAGTGCGGAGCATAGGCTGTGGGAGGCTTCAAGCCCAGCTGGAGTAGTTCAGGCTTCCAGCTTTCTAACAAGGGAAGGGTGCCATCTGGGCTATGCGTGAGGGAGACCCTGGCAGTGGCGTGCAGGTGGATTAAAGACAGAGGGAGGCTTAGGGGACCATTGCCACGATTTAGGCATGAAATGGGCCTGCCCTGAACTTTGGTGGAGGCAGGGGGAAGGGGAGGGACTGGCTGCCCGGAGAGGGAGTCATTTCGGTTCTGGGGGAGCCCCTACCTCCTGCCCATTCGATGGCCGTGCCTGGCTGCTGGCTTCTGCCTTGGCTTCCTCCCTCTGGGGCCAGGCTTGAAGGCTGCACTCAGGAAGGGGGAAGCACAGAGCCAGCTCCAGCCTCAGAGAAAGGGGACGCCGTCTGGTCTTACAATGTGGACCTGGACCCAAAGGAGCAATTCTGGAAGGGGCTGTGGCCCAGACCAGGCCTGCAGGCCCAGACTGGGAGCGTGAACCCAGCACTGGCTGTGTGTGTGTGTGTGTGTGTGTGAGACTGTATGTGTAGGAGAGTGTGTATTTGTTGTCTGTGTGTGTGAGAGCATGTGTATTTGTTGTGTGTGTCTGTGTGTGAGAGAGAGACTGTGAGTGTGTTACAAAGCAGGAAGGGGGGGACCATATGTCTATTTTCTCTGGGAAACAGACGTCTCCTCAAGTAGGTGAGAGAGACAGTAAGGGAAAGAGAGAAGCGGGTTAGAGGATCGGCTCCACATTAGCAAATAAACTGTCCCATGCACCGGGCCTGCGCGTGTCAGTTTTTCTGATTTTTTGGATATTTTCCTCTCTTTCTCTCTCTCTCAATCTTCCTCTTCCAGTGTTTCTTTCTTTCTCTCTTTCCCAAGCTCGCACACCCGTGCTGAGCCACAGGTGGTATCCCTGTGGCTGGTGGCTCTGACTGTGAGGAGGAGCCCCCCTGGGCTCAGGCCTCTCCTGCGTTCAGGGCCCGCCACGAGGGGGTGGGGGAACCAACCAGCTCACTCTCCCCATCTTGCCTCTGCTCAACTTGCCTTGTGTCTACACCCTTCCCTCTGCTTCTCCCCCAGCAAACACTTAATGAGCACACACGGTGCTGCAGGCACTGGTCCAGGCCCAGGGGCTTGGGGGCAAGCCGAATCTGGGCTCCTCCCGACCCAGCACCCTTGCTCTGGGAGAGTGGGATGGGAAGGGAGCATCTTTGGCTTAATATCCAGGCATCAAGTGCCAGAAAGGAAACCCCCTCCCTGGTTTGCCCTGGAGCTTTGTGGTTTTGTGCCTGCTCTTCTGTCTCCCTTTCTGGTGAGAAGTACAGAGAAATTGGAGCCAGAGAGACCTGGGTTCAAACCCCTCTTTCCAGCTGTGGGATCTGCAGCAAGATGCAGCTTCACCTCTCTGGTTTCTGTATTTCCTTGTCCAGATTGTGACGTTTATTGTTGAGTCGTTGGGAGAATGAAACGAGAAAATGAACCGAAGTGCCTAACAAAGCCATTTTCTCCCTTTTCCGTCTTGTTTCTTTTTCTTATTCCTTTTCTTTCATTTCTTTAAGAAAAATCGAATGAGCCTTCAACATGCCAGGACTGTGGGAGAAGGGGAGGGGCCAGAGTCCTGGTGTCCACTCTCCCGGAAGCAAGTCTCCAGCTAGAGCCTGGCAGCCCAGCCCCAGTCTCCGCTCCGTCATGTCCCATCTTCATCCTTCGGGAAGTGGGGAGCCCTGAAGGTGATACCTGCGATTTCCAACAGGATCTGGCTGTGCCAAGTGATGGGGAGGAGGAAGTGGGGCAGCGGGGGCTGGGCACCACCAATGCTCTCCCACCCCTGTCACTCCTCTTCTTCAACTTCCCTCCTCCCTCCCTGCGACACTCCTCTCTCTCCCTCCCTCACTTCTCCTCTCGCTCTATTCCCCTCTCCCCTTCGGCTCCCCCTGCGGCTTGCCAGCTGCCAGCAGATGACATCTCCTTTCATGTTTGGGGCTGAGCGAGGCTTTGAATGTTCGTTTGATTCCGTTAAGATAATAGCTGGTTCACTGTCAGATGCAGACTGATCAGTTAAAACCTTAATCACTGCCTGTCTCCTCACACGGCACTTATTTTTTAAGAGATTAATCCCCTCAGCCCTGCTGAAGCTCACATTCCCCCTGGAAAAAAAGGCAAGGTTTGTGCTACCCTTGTTTTTATTATTGTTATTATTGCCACCCTCGTTACTCTGCGTGTGAACTCCCTCCCTCTGTTCTTTCAGCTGTTCCTTTCTTTCTTTTTTCCCCCTTTGGGTTCCCAGTCTTCCCCCAGCTCACTTGTGTTCTCTGTCACGCACACACACAATCAGCTGTGGCTCTCCAGACAGAATGTGAGCCTGATAGTCCTGTGCACGCCCTCCCTGCCACCATGCACACACCTGGATGCTGTGCACTCACAGCATGGGAACAGGACACAGTCCAGGCACACACAGAGCAGGGCTGCTGGAGGATGCAGTCCTGTGCCACAGGCTGATCTTTGCAGTCAAACGGGGGAGAGGGTATAGCCCAGTGGTAGAGCATGTGTTTAGCATATACAAGGTTCTGGGTTCAATCCCCAGTACCTCCATTAAAAATAAATTAATTAATAAACCTGATTACCTCCTCCTTCAAAAACAAAACAAAACAAAAGGTGGTTCTGAAATCAAACAGACCTGCCCCGTTCCTCCCTCAAGCATTCACATGCTGTGTGATTTTGGAGAGGAGCCTCAGTTTCCTCATCTGTAAAATGGGCACAAGAACACTCACTGTGGGGAGGCTGTGAGCACTGAATACAAGGAAACGCATAGGGTACCCACAGCAGAGACTTAGGCACAGGGCAAGGGTGTAGTGTTATTCCTGCTTCTCGTTCCTACCTCCCAGATTCTATGGAAATATCTTTCCTAGAGGTTGCCCAGTCCCTTCCTGAAGATGATACGTCCTCTGTAGGCCTTTTTGCGGATACTCCTCATGTGATCACCTGTCTCAACCAACAAGTCTTACCCAGGATCCAGGAAGGAGAGTCTGCTTGAGGCTGACCCGTAAAGGGAAGGCTTACAGTTGAATCTAGAATTTGACAGAGGAGAGTAACCCAGAGACCATCCAGTCCAACCCCTCAAAGTATAGGAAGAGGCCGAGGCTCTGAGAGGGGTGACTTGCCCTGGGTCTCACAGTGTGTTATAGCAGGGCTGGGGCTAGAATTCAGCCCTGGCTTTGCACTACCCCACCCAAGGAGAAAGAGTCAGTAAACAACCAACCAACACACACTTAGCACGTACTATGGGCCCAGCCCTAGGCCATTGGAGAGAACAACCAGGCTGAGCCAACCCGGTGGCACTAGGTTGGCTTAGACCCTTTCCTGCTCTGGCTGGTGCTGCAGACACAGGAAGTCCTTCTAGAGGAGGTGGCATGGATTTGGGATGGCAGGACGCCCAGGCAGGGAGATAGAAACAAGCACCTGAGGGCCACTGGGGACCCCAGCCAGGTCCAGCCTGGCTCCTAGGCTTAGTGAGGCAATCTTACAGAGGTCAGGAGCTGTGCGTGTTGCCCATCACCTTGGAGGTCGCAAAACAAAGCATTGATGGTGTAACTGCAGCTGCAGAGATTGGCACTTTCTGACCCTGAGGCTTGGGAACAAGGGACCAGAGAGGCCTGGCATCCCCATCATTGATGTCATTCTGTCCTTCCTTCATAGTAAGGCATTAGGAGTTTGGGGTCTGGAGCTAGACTGCCTGGGTTTGAATTGCTTGCTAGCTGGATACCTTGGTCAGTTTCCTTTTCTAAACCGGAAATAATGATAGCATTTAGCACTTAGTGGCTGGTACAGAGAAAGTGCTACCTAAGTCTTAGTCATGACTGTTCAGTAAAGATGTACTGCACATTTAAATGTTCCAGGCCTTGCCCCAGGTGCTAGGGATGCAGAATTGAACAGGACATGGTTCTGCCGCCAGGATGAGCTCAGTCTAGTGGGGAGGCAGACAAGTCAACCTGAAGTTGTAGTCCTGGGTATGGCACACGGGGCCCAATCTCAGGGATGCAGGGCAGCTTCCTGGAAGAAGTGGATCATGAGCTCTACATAGGTTAGACTTTGTTTTTCCCATTGCTATATCCCCAGTGCCTAAAATGGGGCCTGGCACAAAGTCAATCTTTGCTGGAT